TCAGATGAACATATCAATGGCATGTTTAAGTTGCCTTCAGTTGGAATAAATGTAGTGAAAAGAGAACAACTTGATCAGTGAGAACAACTGCCAGTCAGACACACAAAAGATGCCGAGACGTCAAGAGGCTGCTTTAAAGTCTGGAATATGAAAAATGAAGACAGAGGTTTGAATTTTCTCCATCTTCCCCTCACTTTCACACACATAAAATTTCCTTCCGCTGATCCATCCCATCTATTTCAGACATGCTTCCTGCTATTACATTCTCTTTTTCTCTCCCTGTCTTGAACAGTGTCCCCCTTTTTCTCAATTTCCCCTTTCGCTTCATCTTTCTCCAGCTTTGTACTTTGATTTTTCTGTCTGCTCCATCTCTGTCCCTCCATTACCGAGTGCACTTTCACAGGCTCTAAGGATGCTTTGTATCCCCCAGACACAATGCCATCCATTCATATTACATCAATAGACAGTGACACCAATTATTTGAAGGGTACATAAAGCTGCACAACCCCATGGTCCAGGGGATGAAGGGAGATTGAGACAGGTGGACAGAGAGTTGGGAGAAAGACTGAGACAAAGAGCAAGATGAGGGAGATGTGAGCTTATAGTTTCAGGTTTAAATATATGTAGAATTTTCATTAAAGTTTAGACAGAATTAGAAACTAGAGTCAAGTCAAGAAGCGCAGCTCACTCCAACTGTGGTAAACTTAATTTGTGTCTTACTAAGGTGAAACACTTCAAAGCTGAATTTACAGCAATCCCAGCACTGAGACCAGTTTTCTACGCAACAATCCCCGTTTTCAAGCAACTTTCGTCGTAATTATTCTGCCACCGGTGGTTAGTTTCAGCTGAATGTACTGTTGCTATAGCAACCTCTACTGCGCAGATTAGTCGCCACATCGCATCCAGCCTCTGATGGTATCCTCCATCCCATAGCCTTCGTCTATGTCAAATTAGTTTTAAAACCTTAACCGTTGTAACTTATGACAAGATTATTTGTTGTAAAGTAGCATTTTCTCAGACTGCCTTAGGTTTTTTTTCCTGTACATCACATAGTCAACACACCCTAGTTACCATGTTATCTGGCTACACTAATGGACAAAGATGATCATAATCAGTGTTTTGTGATGGTGACGGCACAGAGCAAAATGGATCACAGAAGTGTTTCTGCTGTAGGTTCCTTTAGCTTCTGACCTTACAAACTACTGAAAAAGTAAGACAAAAAGATTTCACTCTTCTCACACCGCATCATCTCAAAGAGCACACTCCCTCCTCTCCTACAGTCATTCATGACACATCCATCTCTCAAAATTAGTTCCACATCTCTTGACTTGCTGGTCCATTTCTCCAGTTTTGTGCGGCCACTAATGCCTCCTCTGAGTCGAGGTCACTTGTTTTCCATTTGGAAAGACTCGAGGCTTTTCAGGCATCTCCAGGCACAGAAAGACATGGAAAGGGACAGAGAAACGGGGCCGAGGCCAGAAACCAAAAGTCCATAGCCCATCTACCATGATGCTTCACTCTGCGGTTCTGGGAGTGAGGTCAATCTACCTTTTCATAATTTCGCTACACCCATTCAAGCTGAGATGTGCGTCATCACACAGAGCTACTATAAAAGTCCTACTTCTTCTTTCATGCGTATCCAAACCCTCAATACCTGCTGTTTGGGAAAAACCCTGCCTTTGTGCTCTTTTCTGCTTCAAAGGGTAGAAAATTTTTTTTGCCACTGTCACAGTGACCATGTCCTGCTGGTTCTTGATTGATTAAAGAAGGTGAGTCTCACCAAATATGAGCCTGCCAGAGTTCGATGGGTGATAGCAATCGGGGCACTTAGTAGTCAGAAAACTTGCTGTTGCCTGCTGGTATAGCCACTGCACCTAATGGTAATCAATTACTCTAGATGTAACTACAAGTCATTTATCCAGTGTTACCCATAAATATACAAAACTGGCCTTACAGTATAAAAGTCTGCTGCACTAAGATGCAAAAAAGTACAAAATATAAAATATTCACATGTGAATCAAAAAGATGGACATGTGTGCAAAGGACTCATTATTTTTTATATTTGCAAAAAAAAGAATTTATTCTGTTCATTTTGCACATTATGCACATAATTAGGACAACTCTGATGAATAATCAACAACTTGTTTTTTCCTCCCATCAGCACCTCTGTTCCTGCAAACTACGGTGTTAAGAGTCTTCATGCAGCAGAGTGTTGGGTGCATAATAACATTTGATCTCTAAAAAAAAAATGTATCAAATTCAAAATAAAATTCAAGCAACATTTGGCATGTTTTTCTCAGTTCAATTAATTATTAAAATATAACTGATTCATTTTTGCACTGACTCATTTAGCTAATTGTTTCATAACTAAAAATATCTGAATGTAGGCACTGACACATGAACCCATACTGACAATCGCACACAAACGCATATGTGCATGAACGAGCACAGTTCACACACAAACACGTGCATGTGCATACAGTCGCACACATGAAAGAAACAATGTCAGTGGGCAGACACATGTCCAAATTATAGGCTGCAAAAAGTAGCTCTAACGGTAGCTGTTACTACTATAGGTGACAGGAAGCATCAGAAACACATACACACACACACACACACACACACACACACACACAACACAAATGGCTGTGTGGCACTGCACTGTGTTTCTGCAGCAACATAATTATAGAGCCGACCGGCTGAGAGCTGTTCCATTGCTTATATCCAGGAAAAGTCCACAGGCTGCAGTAAACCTTGGCAGATTTTAGAGTTTTGTTTAATAAGCCATTAATTTCCACTTGCCACAAGTTCTTTGACATCCCAAAAACCTACACTATGAAGAATTCTGATGCAGCATCTCCCACTGTTTTAGGTCAAGTTTGATTTAACCTAGATAGTTTGGACTCTATAGATAAGCAGCAGACTCTATAGATAAAAATGACAGATTAAACCCAGACAGCATGGCCCCCTGCAAAGACACAACCTAGAAAATCTAATAACAGCCTATTTAATGGGTCAACATTACGATGGGGTTATGATGCATTGGGCAATCTTCTGTTCACGCCCTGCAGCGCTCTAGCCCTTTTCCTGCCTCCACAACATTCATAAGGACCAACTCACCCTGAGATACAGCAGCCTGGACGGAGTGGAGGCAAAAAATGGAAGCAGAGGTTGAGAAAGATAGTAAAAAGGGAAAGACGGGGAGGGAGAACATCGAGGATAAAAATAAATTATTAAACTAGTACAGGCATGTGTGGACTCCTCTCATTCACTCTCTCGGTCATTACTTTATTATTAACTACAACAGAAGACCTGGGAAACCACTAATTTTGACCCCACCCTCATTAGGCTTCATTATGAATTAAAAGACCATCATGCAACACATGACCTTGATTACTCTCCCAGGAATGGCTGGAATTTGAAAACCATAGTTGCTTATACAGACCGCACGCTGTCCAATCCTTCAGAAAAGTATTAATTTGATCAGCGATTGGTACTGATCAAAAACACTAACCACCTCCCAGAAAGAGAGGTTCAATGGGGCTCAATAGCTACTTTATGCCATGAGAAAGTAAAAATCATTTTCCCTTTAAGTCAAACTGAAAATCCTTCTGATGCTTCATCTTTATAAAGTTTGCTACAGGCTAACCTCTGGTATTTACTTGGGACACACCTGACATTTTGTCATGCAATACCAATGCTGATACACCAACTCAGTATCTGAGGACACAACAAACATGTCTAATGCCAGTGCTCTTCTTTTGCCACACTTGAAATATCTATAACCCTTCCTTCATTAATTCAACTGTCTATAAGTGTAACACATACCTTGTTTTAAACAGTTTATAAGAGCGGATCATTACCTTGTCTTACAACACATACAGATCTTACTGTATTACTGGCACTGTATACAAATATAGACCTTAAAAACAGTCCTGAGCTGCTGTGAATATGGTTAAGCATGATCAGAGCTGATGCTGCACTTGTGTCATCTAATTCTACAAAAGCCAAAGCTGAACTAGTGTTTCACAGCTCCTCCATAAATTTTTTTTTTTTTTTATTTAAACTCCAGGTACTAAATGTTTTCTGAGCCGCTCTCCTTTCTGCAGTGTTTCAAAGCAACCTTCAGACAAAAAGTGCCCAAAATATAATAAAAACTAAATAATGTCAGTGACAATGTCACCACTGCATTTCACAATAAAAGTCTTCTGCTGCCCTCACAATAACTGAAGTGACATTTTGAAGGACATGCAGTAACTGATGCAGCCTTCCCAAAATAAAACTGTTAGACAACTTCAGCTCATTCAGAACGCAGTTTTAACAGAACCAGGAGAACTGAGCACATCACTCCTGTTCTTAAATCCTTACACCTACTACCAGTTACCTATAGAACAGATGTTCTACTGATAGTTTTAGAAATCACTCTCTGGTATGGGGCCAAAATACATTTCTGTATTGCTTATTACTATTATTACTCATTTTAACAATGTTTTATCTTCAGTGTTTTGTCTTAACCGATTTTAAAGTTGCTTTGCCTAAGAGCAGCACCTTAATGCAACTCAAAATTAGCCCATTGCAGCGAATGAATGAAGATCAGAAAACATTTAAGCCTCCATGTCTGGCCAATATGCAAACTGCTTAAAACAATAAGTGTCTGGGCTGATAACCAAATCAGTTTGTTGCTCCTGACTCCCTACTACTTATACCAACTGAGCTGCAGATGGAAAATAAGAATCTGAAAGCTGTGTGTGGTTCAATATATGGCTTAGTTGGTGATAAGCAAAATAAGGATACTGACAGTAGAAAAATGAAGCTGGACACTGAAATCAAAAGCCAGAATATAAAACACACTAAAAAGCCTGTTCTAAATTTGCACTAGATTGGCTCATATAACACTGACCAAATGAGTCTAGCGAGTATTTGTCTTATTAGTGGTGCAAGATCTGTTCAATAGAGAGTAGAGATGCAGAAAAGTCAGGCATGCACTCAGCAGTACTTACAGGATTATTGCCTCATGGTTCCTTAGAGTTCCTTCATGTTTTAAACACACCATCTTCATCCTAAAGCAAATCAGTTATTGATCATTAATTTAAAATCAGAGAAGAAAAACTGCTCTTTTAACATTTCAGTCTCACCCGCCTCAACCTTTTCTTGACAACACTTTTTCTCTTTATCAAACTTTCACATGGACACATCTCAGACAGTCTCAGTAAAGATGATGCAAGGACAGTAAAGTTGAGATATTATTAGATCTCTTTCACATAACGAGCACAAATATGAATTTGATATTTTTCAGACATTATAAAATGTTTGCAGCCTTCTCTGTATAGTTGGTTAAAAAAAAAGTTCTGTATCGATGAAGTTAACTTCACAATGTTGTCTGTACTTTCTTTTCTGACTCGATATTCATTCAGATGTTCAATGAGGTCCCCCAACTACATATTTCTTGCATTGGTAAGATGGATATAGACCATTAGTGAATTTCTTGCAGCACTTACTTTATTTTTGGATAGTTTTCTTCAAGATAGGTTATTGAGACTTTCAAAAGAACATTTTTGAGACATATTCAAAGAGCTCGTGTTATGTGTACTACTCTCCAACACAGCTTGACAAATTTAAGCGGTTGTAAGGAAGATGACCCTAATCATAATCCAACAGATGAGCAACACCAACAATGGATCACTGAAGCATCAGTACCACCACAGTGAGAAACCAACAGCAATGAAGAGGTTATAAAGACAGAGCTACAAATCTATGACCCGATGCTACAGATACACACCTGCAGGCTAAATGAGGCAGAGAGCTGTCTGCAAGGCATCTTGGGAGATCAAGTCATCCGCAACATCCAATTTTCAGCAGTGGGGTTGGGAAGCAGTAGAAATGTAGACCTGAAGAGACAGAGGAAAATATGAATTAGCAAGTTTCTAAATTTTTAATAATCTTGTCTAATTTCCAACTACACTTAGCATCCCTATTTGATTTTAGTATTAACTTTATTTGCAGAACTAATTTCTAAACGAGTTTTATTTTCTGCTCAGCATTTGCTTTACAGTGACAACACAGATCTCTACTTCATCTCACTCACGCACCCAAACACCATCTGTGTTTACTCAGATACTGGCCATTCAGTGATGTATGGCAGGTCAGTGGACTTAACGCCGTCTCCCTGTGGGCTGCAGGCGTCTGCTTGGTCAGCACACAACTATTCATGCTTACCAACAGATAGGGAATACCTGCAGGACTGCCTCTGTTAGAAAGTCATGATGAGTGTGCATGTACTGTGGTGTGTGTGTGTGTGTGTGTGTGTGTGTGTGTGTGTGTGTCTGTACCTCCAGGACAAACTCAGAGAGAAAGATACAGAAGTGTGTGGGCTGTTGTTTATCAGACAATTATATGGAAAGAATTTCTCCTGCTGACCTGCAGCTTGTTTTGTTACATACCATAAAAGGCAAACAGTTTTGACTAGAGGAAGTGACAAGGGATCAGGGTTAATTCGAACATTTTTCTGGTTGCATTATCAAAAGGCAGGCCATATAACAAAAACCAAACCCCCACTGTATCAACACTTACTGCAACTTCCATGTCAAACACTGTCTGGATTTACACTAAAGCCTCTTGTAAGCTTTGTGACAAGACAGAAACAAGTCATATTTATATTAAAGTTCTAAGGTTATGAACATATGGCATCTTTTCAAGTATTTTTTCATATCATACTTTCACTTGTATTGGTAAACAAATATCTACAAATTACTGTACAAGAACAGAAAAAGTGACACGTTTTATGCAAAAATAAAAAAATTAGTATTGTACAGTTTTTGATTTCTTGTTTGTACTTATTCCGATCCCTTATACAGTGGGTACGGAAAGTATTCAGACCCCCTTAAATTTTTCACTCTTTGTTATATTGCAGCCATATGCTAAAATCATTTAAGTTCATTTTTTTCCTCATTAATGTACACACAGCACCCCATATTGACAGAAAAACACAGAAT